CCTGACATTATGGGAAGCAGATCCTTTTTGTCATCTTTTCTTAACCTGGAATTCAAAACCCTATGCCTATTTTGGTCCTAACTTATTTTCCATTATTTCCTATAATTGTGCTCTTTGTAGCCATTTTTCTTTTTTCTTTCTTTCTTTCTTTTTTTTTTTAATTGTAGAGATGAAATCTCGCCAAGTTGCCCAGGCTGGTTCAAACCCCTGGGCTCAGGCCATCCTCTCGCCTCTGCCTCCCAAAGTGCTGGGATTACAGGTGTGAGCCACCAGGACAGCTCTGTCTTTTCATTTGAACTGGATTATATTCTCCTTGAGGCCAGGAACCTTAATTGTTATTTTGTTTCTCCACGATAGGTTCCAACTCAATCTTTAGTTTAGTGAATATTGTTTTATTGTAAGTTAATAAAAATGTAATGTTGTAAATGTTAAACAATGAATCTTTGAATGGATGAGTTTTTCCAATATTAACATTCATGTAAAGTTCTTAGAACATGATCTGGCACATAAACACTAATAAACAGCATCTGTTGTTGTTATTATGATTACCTGAAATTAGTATTGTATGACCAGCTGATCCCTGAATGTTTCTCTCCACTTTTTGCTGATTATTATTTCTATTTTTGGGCTCCAAGACTTCACAATCTTAGAACTGAAAAATATTTAAGATCATCTGATAAAATTCCTTTATTGCCGGGTGTGGTGGCTCAAGCCTGTAATCCCAGCACTTTGGGAGGCCGAGGCGAGTGGATTGCCTGAGTCCAGGAGTTCAAGACCAACCTGGGCAACTAGGTGAGACCTTGTTTCTACAATAAATCAAAAAATCAACCAGGTGCAGTGGCACATGCCTGTGGTTCCAACTACTTGGAAGGCTGAGGCAGAAGGATCGCCTGAGCCCAGCAGGTGGGGGCTGTGGTGGCCATGAGCGGGCCATGAGTGTGACTGTGAGTGTGCTACTACACTTCAGCCTGGGCAATAGAGTGAGACTCTGACTCAAAAAAAAATTCCTTTATATACAGATTTGGAAACAAGGCTTAGAAAGGAACTCTAGGCCAGGCACGGAGCTCAGCCTGTAATCCCAGCACTTTGGGAGGCCGAGATGAGTGGATTGCCTGAACCTGCGGGTTCAAGACCCACCCGGGCAACTTGGCGAGACCTCATCTCTACAATAAATAAAAAAATTAGCCAGGCATGGTAGCGCACGTCTGTAGTTCCAGCTACTTGGAAGGCTGAGGCGGCAGGATCGCCGGCGCCCGGCAGGTCGAGGCTGCCGTGACCGGGAGCAGCCACTGCACTCCAGTCTGGGCGACAGAGTAAGACTCCAACTCAAAAAAAAAAAGGAACTCTATACTCATGCATTTCTGCTTTTCTTAGGTTCTCAAGTTCAGAGACTGCTCCTACTCATGTAATTGGAAAGGTAGCATATGTCCTGGTAGCTCCCTGGGCTTGGGCAGATCAAGGCTCTCTGGTCCATCTCCCTGTAACAGTGGTTCTCAACCAAGGGGCAGTTGTGTATCCAAGGAACATTTAGTAACTTCTAGAGACCGTTTTTTGTTGTTATGCTGGGGCATGTTCTACTGGCATCTAGTTGGTAGAGACCAGAGATGCTGCTAAGCATGCTAAAGTGCACAGGACAGCGATACTACAAAGAAACCCTTGTGCTATAGGCAGTCTCTGCCTTTTATTTAACCTTCATTAAAGGAGACACACCTGCTTCTCTGATTAAGGGTTTCTCTTGTCACAGGAAGTTCTTCATGCCAGATTCTTTATTTGCTATTTCTTCTCTTTATTTACATTTGCCTTGCTCTAGGAAGAAATTTCAAATAGTTCATGTATGTAGGAAAAATACATCTTACAAAATAATTTTCCTCTTATACGTACCCTTAAAAATTGTTTGGGACAAGCTGTAAAAATTATTTGGAAAGAGCTGTTGCAGAAGTTAACAGTGCCTTGGAAATAGTAGTTTCACAGCCAGCTCTCTTAGTTATATGTATAAAGTGTTCCCCGATGACTGTCAGGGTAGAAAAGGGGTTAAGTGAAAGAAGCTTGTTGCTTGTCACAGACTGGAGTGGGTGAAAGGGACAGAGTGGCAGCTTCATTCTGCCTTCCTCTACTGGTTTGTTCCCTCATTCTTCCTCATCTCTCTGCCCCATGTCCAAGGCTTGACTTACACAATGAAGTCAGCTGATTGAACATTGTCAGGAACAAAGGTTTGTGGAGAGGTCAGTACAATTTCCCCTCTAGCAAGAGATACCAGAACTATAATCCACCTTTCAAAGTTGCCTGGAGGAAAGTGCAAATATCCCAGTCTGCAGTTTGGAAGAAAATCCCAGGTGTATTGGCTGCTTTTTTTGATGCATTTGCAGATCATTTTTTTCTTTCGCCTCACTAGTTCTGTAGCCTCCTCTCAGTGCCAGTCACATGATGACGTCTTGCTCCAGAAGCCATCTTAATCCGTATTGAATGTTTGCACTCTAAAGTAGCTCTTTTCTGAATGATTTCTAACTTTAACGTTCAAGGTCATCATGAATTTTAGCACTGATTTCTATGTGACTTAGGTGTTTATGCAAGTAACTATAAGTGGCCAACTTAAATTTTATTTATAGCAAGACGTCTTGCCATTCTTTTTCACCAAGATAAAAGAGTCACTGAACCTATTCTAACTTTTCTGCATGTTTATAGTGTATTTAGGATTTCTCTTAGGTGAGCCAATCATGTAATATTTCTAGCTTTTTCTCAAATCAGATTTCTGAAGTTTTTAAACATATCTTTTTCTGGGCTTAACACAGTTCTCTGTACGAGTTTTCAGTTGGAGTAAAGAATTCCTTTGCAAAAACATATCCAGCATACCACACTGAGTGAAAGTTATGTGCTTTGAAATTGAATACTCAATGGGAGGAGAGTCAGGGTTGTGTATGTTCTGCAGAGCAGGGAGTTCATCCGTGCTTAGACCCTACACAGTGATCAGTAACACTCTGAAAGAAGATCATTTGGGCCAGGCTCGGGTGGCTCAACCTGTAATCCCAGCACTTTGGGAGACCGAGGCAAATGGATTGCCTGAGCCCGAGGGTTCGAGACCCACCCAGGCAACTTGGCGAGACTTCATCTCTCCAATAAATCAAAAATTAGCCAGGCGTGGCAATGTGCAGCTGTAGCTGTGGCTACTTGGAATCCTAAGGCGGAAGGATCACCAGAGCCCAGTAAGTCGAGGCTGCGGTGGCGGGAGCGTGCCACCGCACTCTAGTCTGGGTGACAGTGAAACTCCAACTGAAAAAAAAAAGAAAGAAAATCATTTGAATCTTAAATGGCCTTAATTGATTGGATAAGTAAACAGATAAAAACAAGATGAATTTTAATTGACACAACTATAGATTCACTAAATCAGAGAGCCTATGCAGACACAAGTCAGGATTTTGTCTGAGGATGGCAAAAAAAATGCATATATGGGGTTGTGGTTGCCTGTAAGTTAAATATGTTAAATGCAGAATTATTTTTGGAAACTAGTATGACACTACAACTACCATTGCTACTAATAACTACTTTCATCCAGTGCTTGCCTTGAGCCAACATTGATCTAAGCCTTTTACATGACTCTTTACCCAGCAGATGCAAATTGGATCGGAAAAAAACACAAGGTAATCTTTCCTCCCCAGGTCAGCTGAACACCAAGCAGTAGCATAGTGGGGGCCCATCCTACCAGCTCAGGCATCTCATGTAAAATTTTGGTCTAGGTCAAGCACAATGGTTCACACCTGTAATCCCAACATTTGGGAGGCTGAGGCAGAAGGATCGTTTGAGCCCAGGAGTTTGAGCCAGCCTGGGCAACATAGCAAGACTTCGTCTCTACAAATTTTTTTTTTTTTTTTTTTTTTAATTAGCTGGGCAGGGTAATGCACACCTGTAGTGCCAGCTCCTTGAAAGGCTGAGGTGGGAGGAAAGTCTGGTCTTCATGTTTGCTGAGCCTTGAGGGAACAAGAACTATTTCTTAAGATAGAAATAGATACTTATGGCCAGGTTCGGTGGCTCAGCCTGTAATCCCAACACTTTGGGAGGCCGAGACAAGTGGATTGCCTGAGCCCATGGGTTCAAGACCAGCTTGGGCAACTTGTCAAGACCTCATCTCTACAATAAATCAAAAATTAGCCAGGCATGATGGTACACGCCTGTAGTTTCGGCTACTCGGAAGGCTGAGGCAAAGGATCGCCAGAGCTCAGCAAGTCAATCCTGGGGTGGCGGTGAATGTGCCACTGCGCTTCAGCCTGGGTGACAGAGTGAGGCTCCGATTCAAAATTTTTAAAAAGAGACACTTTTTTTTGGAGCTGGAGTCTCACTGTTGCCCAGACTGGAGTGCAGTGGCCGTTACCGGCCACTACAGCCTGGACCTGCGGAAACCAGCAGGGCTCCGGTGATCCTTCTGCCTCAGCCTTCCAAGTAGCTGGAACTACAGGCGCGTGCTACCATGCCCGGCTAATTTTTTTTTGATTTATTATAGAGATGAGGTCTCGCCAAGTTGCCCAGGCAGGTCTCGAACCCGTAGTCTCAGGCAATCCACTCACCTCAGCCTCCCAAGGCGCGGGATTACAGGCTGAGCCACCAAGCCTGGCTAAAAAGAGATACTTTACAATAAATGTTACAAATACAGTAGGTAGAGGACATCTACTTTTTCTTTGTTTAAAGCAAAAACATTTACATTTGACTTATATTTAAAATTATTTTAATAACACTTATTGGAGGCCCACGTGTGTGCATAGGAAGAAGTTGCAAAAATTCTGCTCTTTTGGTAGGAAAAATTAACATCATTTCAATATGCAGTTTTCTAATTTGAGTCCACAGGTTGCATTGTAAGAACTGGAATTTTATTTTAGTGCATTTAGATGAAATTGTCAAACATTAGAGAATCTTTTCATTCTCCAAATCAGTGTCAATAGAATGGTTTTAATATTATATCATGAGCAAGAATCATGTGTAGAAATAACAAAAATTACTTTCCTGGTTTTTAGATGTGTGGTTTTTAACAACAGAGGAGTGGCGGGGGAGAATCTCTTGGTAAGTAAATTTAAATGATAACAATTGAATTTTTAAAAAAATTATTTCCAGTCTTATAATGAAAAACATATTCTTTTTTCTTTAAAATACTCTTTTTGTTTATTTTAACTTATTGTTTATGTAAGCAATACAAGTTCATTGTAGAAAAATACAGATAAGCAAAAAAAAAAAGGAAATTTACAAGATTTGTAGTTACACAACAACCAGGAAAATTCCTTTAGTCCTTAATCATTCAGAATTTATATATAAATTAAATACACGTCATATGTTTTCTATTTTTATAAAAATTAAATTTTGTAACTAAAGTTCTGTATGTACTATATTTTTACATCAATAGTTATTTATCTTATCTTTTTTTTTTCCGTCCTCTCAACCCAACTTTTCCCAACTTCAGGAAGACCTGGGAAGAGAAGACCTCATTTTTAATGCAAAGCACATTTTCTTTGAAAATTAGTCAGTATAAAACAAACTTTTACAGTGATACTTTTTTCACTTATGAAATTTACTTTTGTCGTGAAACAGATCGAGGGTATGATTATATGCCTGTTCGCCAGCTGAAATGTAATGTAATTTACACCTACATGGAAGAAATGTAATTTACACCTTTTGGATTTAAATTAGGACTTTCCCTCCTTAATTCTGAGTTTTTGCCAGAACAGAAGATCTTCACCTCTTAGGAAATCATCACTCTGTCTCATGTTTAAATCTGTGAGTGGGAATGAGAAATATTACACTCACTAAAAAATCTTACAGCTCTTTAACTTCTAGTCCCTCATCATCTCAACAGGTCAAAAGCAATTATACTAGAATGGAAAGAAACTTTGTTTTTGAGTCATTGATGGAGAATGACATTAAGACTATGAATAACTAAATCATGCTGGAAATAAAAATTGATAGTCAGGTCACAAATGTCAGCACTTTGTAAGAACTTGAGAAGAAAAGAGACCTTGCACTTTGCTTTACAGGCCGGGGCCCTGGAAGGAATCAAAATGCATGTGATTTCCAAAACAAAAGTTCTGAAGTATTTATGGTCTTACTCAATTGCCTCTTAATAAATAGTGTGATGTGAAGGTTCACATTTCCTCATTCAGTCTAGCCATTTAGGGATCTCGTAGACAGTACAATAAAGGGCACAATTTGAATTTGTCACATGTTACTGTGGCCTTGGCCAAGCAAATCCTTTTGAGCAGCCTCTTTCTGCTGTGTATTCTTCTGGGACACAAAGAGAAGGAAGACAGAGTCTGCAGCTCTCAAGGAAAGAATGTGTTGCAAAGCTGAGTTTGTTAGGTCTCTATAAAGTGAGGGACAAAGCTCTGTTCATTCAGCAAAGCTGCGGTGTGTGTCTATTAAATCAGGCACTGTGCAAGGCAAGAGGGTGGGGAGTATACATATTAATGAGACACAACCCTGATCTTTAGGAGCTTAAACTTCAGTTGTGGGAGAGAGTCGAGCACATAAGAATATAACCAATACAGTGTTAAATATCACTGTTCACGGTGCTTTGAAGCGTAGAAAGCTTTATTAAGGCTTCAGACCACAAAGGGAAGGAGTTACAAAGTGCCCAAGGGAGGAGGGAGAACTTCATAGTGGAGATGACATTTCATTTCATGTTGGATCTTGAAGGCTGTGACATGGAACTTCTGAGGGAGGGGAAAGAGGCACAAAGCAAGGAATAGCCACTCCTTACTTGTGGCTGGATGATGATGATGATAATTTTATCTAATATTTATGTAGCCCTTGGAATGTTTCAGTTATATCTTTTCCTCCTTAATGTTCAGCAACAGAAACAACCCAGTGATTTAAGTAAGTCTAGCCACCACCATCCCCCATTTTTCAGGTGAAGAAAACGAGACGGAGGTAGGTTAGGAACTTCCCCCGACCAAGACATGGCAGAGATGGGATTCAGACCCAGATGATCTGACTCTGTACTTATGTTCTTGACCATTATGCCGTGCACCTTCCTACTCTGCAGGAAATGACAGGAAATCTTCCAAAAGGGTAGAGCCATCTTTTGAAGGATCATGCGTAGAATCCTAAGAATCATTCATAGGGAAAAAAGAACCATATTCATTATATCCAACCATTGACATTTTGGAACAGGCACGTCATTTGATCATGTTCATGTTTTGAGAGGAAAACCATGGCAGTGATAGGAAAGAGATGGAGGGAAAGGAGGCTGGGAGACTGGATAGAAAGCAGTTACTTCAGACCTACCCAGAGTTTGGAGTTTGAAAGCAAATGTAGGCCGGGCGTGGTGGCTCACACCTGTAATTCCAGCACTTTGGGGGCCGGAGATGAGAGGATTACCTGAGCCCAGAGGTTTGAGACCAGCCTGGGCAACATGGCAAGACCTCGTCTCTACAATAAATTTAAAAATTAGCCAGATGTAGTAGCATGCACCTGTAGTTCCAGCTACTTGGAAAGCTGAAGCGGAAAGATTGCCTGAGTCCAGCAAGTCGAGGCTGTGGTGATCGTGAGCATGCCCCTGCACTCCAGCCTGAGCAACAGAGTGAGACTCCAACTCAAAAAAATTAGTTAATAGCATTTGAATAGAAAAATAAATAAGCACCAGGCACAGTGGCTCAAGCCTGTAATCCTAGCACTTTGGGAGTCTAAGGCAAGAGAACTGCCTGAGACCAGCCTGGGCAACTTGGCGAGATCTCGACTCTACAATAAATCAAAAAATTAGCTGGACATGGTAGCATGTGCCTATAATTCCAGCTACTCAGAAGGCTAAAGCAGAAGGATTGCTTGAGCCCAGCAGGTCGAGGCTGCAGTGGCCGTGAGCGTGCCACTGCACTCCAGCCTAGGCGACAGAGTGAGACTCTGACTCAAAAAGGAAAAGAAAAGAAACAAAGGTAGGAGGGATAAAGAGGGGAGAACAAAAATGATTAGTATTCATGGGAAAGAAAGAACAGTATTCATTGTATTGTGAGAAGTAAGGAAAAGAATGTCAAGGGTAACATTTCTAGCTTGGCTTGCTGATAGGAGGTGCTGATAATTTGCTGAAATATGAAATTTAGGAAACTTTACAAGATTTTGGTATATAAAGATAATTTCTGGCCAGGTGTGGTAGCTCACGCCTGTAATCCCAATATTCTGGGAGACTGAGGCAGGAGGATTGCTTGAGCTCAGGAGTTCAAGACCAGCCTAGGCAACATAGCAAGACCTTGTCTCTACAAAAAAAAAACGAAAAAAAATCAAAAAGTTAACTGAGCATGGTGGCACATGCCTATAGTCCCAGTTACTCAGGAGGCTGAGGAGGCAGCATTACTTGAACCCAAAAGTTTGAGCCTCCAGTGAGCCATGATCATGCCATTGCACTTAGCCTGGGTGACAGAATGAGACCCCAACTCAAAAAATAATAAAAAGATAATAAATTCTGTTTTAGGTGTTTAGGGTGCCTTTAGATAATCTGAGTGGAAATTTTTAGTAAACAGTTGGATATACTGGACTGACCCTCAGGAGAGATGTATGAATAGGAGAGAGAGACTGGGATTATCACAGGTAGAAATTGGAGCCCAGGATTAGCTGAGATTAGTTAGGAAAAGTGTGTAGAGTGAAAGGAGAGAGGTCTATGGATAGAATCATAGGAAACAGGCTGGGCTCCTGGCTCAGCCTGTAATCCCAGCACTTTGGGAGGCCGAGGTGAGTGGATTGCCTAAGCCCAAGGTTCGAGATCAGCCCGGGCAACTTGGCAAGACCTTGTTTCCACAATAAAAAAATTAGCCAGGCGTGGTAGCGCACACCTGTAGTTTCGCCTACTTGGAAAGATCACCTGAGCAGAAAGATCACCTGAGCCCAGCACGTCAATGCTGGGGTGGCCGTGAGCATGGGTGCCACTGCACTTTAGTCTGGGCGACAGAGTGAGACTCCACTCAAAAA